CCACCTCAATGGCTTCCTGACAGTCAGGAGCAATCCCAGCACACAGCGCTGCCTGGCCCCTGAGGGCAACTCTTCCCCCTCCTCCCTCTCCCCCACTGCTATAGGGCAGGGAGGGGGGCACTGTTTGGTGCTGGGGGGGCTCTTCCCTCTCCCCCCCTGCTGCCATGGGGTGGGGAGGGGGACTCAGGGAGGCTGCCCAATCTCTGGACAGGGACTCTTTCCCCTGCTCCTCTCCCCCCGCCATGGAGTGGGGAGCCGGGCTCTGGTCAGTGCTGGGGGGGACTCTTCCCCCTCTTACTCCCCCCCCATGGTGGGGGAGGGCACTCTATGGAGGTGCGGGGGGTCTCCTCCTCCTTCTCCCCCCCTGGGGTGGGGAGGGGGGCTCTTCAAGGCTGGCTGGCTCCCGGAGGGGGGCTCTTCCCCCTGCTCCTCCTGCCAAGGGGTGGGGAGGGGCTCTTCCCCCTTCTTCTCCCCCTGCCCCCCACCACTATGGGAGGATGGACTCTGTGCAGCGCTGCCCAGCCCAGTTGGGGTGGGTGGAGTGGCTGTCACTGAGCTGCAGCTGTCGGGGTAGCCCGGACTGGCCTCACTCAGCCCCGGACGAGGCCGCATGTTGGGGCCAAGCTGGGCTGCGGGGGTGAGGCCATCCCCAGCAACTGTGGCTCAGTGGCAGGGATGCTGAGCCCTGTCAATGAGTGCAGCCTTGTCAGTGAGTCTTCCTTTCCAAGATAAAGAGCTTTAACTTGTGATAGAAGGAGGTTAAACTACTTGACAGACATCCAGTAGAGAATAACCCATTACCAGAAATGTTCTGGGGACTTAAGAAACATTTGGATAGAATTCTGCATGAACAAGGGATCTCAGATATTGTTAATTTCTAATAGTTTTGGTTATTATAGTTTAATATAGCAACGGTATATTGTGCTATCACAGATCCATTGTCATTGCCTTGTCACTTATTAATACGCTGAGGACTTTGACTACTCTCAAGTCAAGTCCCATCCACTTATTGAGAGCTTGACTGCCAAAAGTAGTAGCTCAAGATTGCACTATTGAGTTCTTTGTTTTCTGGAGCTTTGTGAATGACTGACTGAAAACCCTGTGAGAAATGTTGCCATAACTTACACCCTATGAAACTCTAAAGACTTCCATTGGCTACAGATGGTGTAAGTTCAGCCAGCCTTTCATCTCCTTTAATTAATGAATACAGTTCCATAAATGGTAGAATTGTATAGGAAGCTATATATATCCTAACCAGCTTTAATGCTGAATGCTTTTGTGTTTTGTGGTAGGACACCTTCTCCAGCTGCATTACGAAAAGAATCCCCTTGCTGCTTGCAAGAGGCATGGTACGCCTCGTGATCATCGACTCTATTGCTGCTTTGTTTCGATGTGAATTTGGAGCACGAGATTCTGTTGTGAAAGCTCAGTATTTGCAGACATTTGGAGCACAGCTTCATAGTTTAAGTACGAGATTCAGGACTCCAGTAGTGTGCATCAATCAGGTATGAAGTCAGAAACTACTTCCTGCTGTGCAGAACCATTGAATGGGCCAAGTAGAAGAATTAGAAACCAAAGGGAAGCCAACAACTTTCTGCAGGAACATGTACATTTATTTTATGCTCAAACAAATGGAGCAATGTTTTGTATTGCTTGTAGCAATTTCCATAGATTCAGTGAAGAAAGGTTCCTGGGTATTTTGGCAGTAGTATGGGAAGAATTTCTCCAGCGCCTTGTCTCACTGATGTTGATTCTCACCCATCTTCTAGAAGCAGAGGATATGAAATACTCTTTGGGTTTGTGGTTTTGGCTACACAGGTAATGTTTTGTTTCTTCAAGAGAGGGTAGTTTATTTTCAGTGAATTGGCATCATAGGTAGAGAAGAGTTTTTTGGGGAGGCAAGTCAGAATTATAAATTCACTGCACCATGCAGCCTCTCAGAAGAGCCAAGTACTACTTTAAGGCAGTGACACTGCTTCTGGTTCAGGAAGTAGGATGTGCAAATCACATCTTGCCTGGTGCATTAGGATATGTTTTTTGAGCCGTAGCTTGGATCTTCCTCTTGCAAAGGCATCAGAAAGCAAGCCAGATGTTGTCTTGAGTAATCAGTGACTTAAGAATTTGGGGTTTGACTCGAGTGCTTTTACCTGTTAAAAGGGAAATCGGGCCTCTCAGATTCCAGCGTTTTGGCCTTTCCCCTGAAGAGCTTGGTGATGAGAGTCTGTTTTGTGGACTTCTGAAAGCTGAAGGAGGTTGATGTATCCTTCAAAGGTCTCTTTAGAAATCTTGGCTAGTGTGAGAGTCACTGAGAGTTACTCAGAGAGTCTCCTGAGTAATCCAGACCAAGGGCAAGATGCATGAAAGCACTTAAGTGTTTGCTATTGCAGCACTTAAGCACCTGGTATTCACTGGACTGTAACCCAGGTCTTCCAATGTAACCCAGGTTGAGTGCCCCAGTCATTGGGTTGGGGTTACCAAATAGTGGTCCGTCAGGCCATGAGAAGTGGACTGTGGTGTTACCTGGACTTGTGCACCTTTAAAAGTCTGATAAGGGCATACAGACATTGTCTGAGGGCTGGCAGAGGTCCAAAATGTTTGGGAGCAAGTTATATTGAATTAGAGTTGTGATCACCCTCCCTTGGGTGCATAATGAGTTATTCCATGCAAAGTGGAATGGCTTCAGCAAGAAGGAATGAGAGAAGCCTATGTCAAAAATATCCTCTTACCCTGTGCTTAAAGCCCTCGCTTACATGGGCCATGCCAGTAAAACTCTTCTTGGGCAGAGGAAGCCAGTACACCCATACCCTGAGATGAGAGTGGCCAGGTATTGGATCAGGCTACTTGGACAAGTTGTGGAGTATCCATGCTTAGAAACTTTCAAAAGCAGGTTAGACAGACTTGGCTGGGATGGTTTAGTCAGGGATGGTCCTGTCTAGACCAGGAGGCTGGACTAGATGATCTTGGGAGGTCCTTTCCAGCCTTTCTTTCCTATAATCCAGTGGGAGAGTGCTCTAAATATTGAACTATTGGGTGGAAGTGCACAATCATCACTGCCTCCTCCTGCTATGGCTTACACGAGGGCCTATCTGGTATGCATGTTATGAGAGGAAAACCTAGTTTCTAGCTCCCAGTGGGGCTCAGTTGTGCAGCTGTTCAGCAGTGTCAGGAATTAGGCAGTTTTCGGTATGCCCAGAAGCAGATCATTGGGTTCCCAGAGAACTTTGCTAGAATAAACTTAAACCCTGTGGACTTCAGGCTTCTCCAGGGTTAGGCAGTAGGTAAGCAGGAGCTTTCAGAATTTGAGTATTAATCATAGGAGTTTCCTCCTAGCTCCATGCAGCAACCACCCAAGCCCAGAAGCATGGGGAATACCCAAGGTAGAACATAGGCAGAGCTATACCTAGAACACCCCAACCAGTGGTGTCCAACCTCTTCTTGAACACCTCCAGGGATGGAGAGTCCACAACTTCCCTAGGCAGTCCAGTGCACTGCTGCACTACTGTGACACTGAAGAAATTTTTCCTGATCTCCAGTCTAAACCAACTTTGCTGCAATTTCAAGGCAGGAGTTTGCATCTTACATTGCAGCAAGAGAGAAAAGGTGTTTTCCCTCTTCTTTATGGCATCCCTTCAAGCATTTGAAGACTGCTATCATATCCCCTCTTAACTGCCTTTTTCACAAGCTGAACATGCCTAGCTCCTTTAGCTTCTCCTTGTACGACTTGCTTTCCAAGCCTTTTATCATCTTTGCTATCCTCCAGTCCAGTTCAGCTTCAGGCTTGAATAAGCAAGTGTTTGACTTGGCTTCAGTCATCTGCAATTAAATAAACTTGCTTGTGATAAATGCAAATATGTATTCATAGAGCACCTTTACTGAAACTTTGTATTTTATGATTTAGGTAACTGATGCAGTGAGTGAGACAAACATAGCTCAGTGCAGTTTTAGGTAAGTGGTTTTCTGCACACTGACATGCAACAGTTAATCCAGAAAGATGACTTGACCCTAGGTTTGTTTCCCTTGTGTCAGGGTGTCCTAAATGCAATTTATAAAGGAGTGTAATTGTTTTGCCCCAGCAGACCAGTGGACCATCTAGTTCAGTTTTCTGTAGCTGCTAGAAATCTGTACCTGCTGCAGTGAGAAGTAGAAGAAATTCCCTGGTATGCACTTATGGAATAACATTAGTTTTTCCTTAGTCTCCAGGACTTGATGTCCAGTTTGCAGTTTGGCACAGGAAGGTTTATATCTTTTTGTGTGTATATAAAAATAAAACACTCTTTGCATCTTTTTTGAAGCCTGTTGAGACCTAATAATAGAATTTTCTTCCCACAAGATATTTTTGAGGCCACGAACTTGACAGGGTTCAGATAATGCCTACATATTTATATGGCTAATGACAGTATTCCCTGTTGCTTGAGTAAGGAGACAAAGATGAACATACTTTTCTAGGGGAGATGTGCCCTGAATTGTATAGTTGTGTAAGTCAATGGCCTGTCAGCTGTGCAGAAGATAAAACTCTTTGGTAAGGTTATTTTCTAGCTGTCTGCTGGAATATTATTTCTGCTTTCCTCCAAAACAAATGTTATAAATGATAAATTCAGAAAAGAAAACTGTGAAATCCACCCCCTCCCACAATGTTGCAGGAGTAGACATCCCTGTGATTTATCAAATGGCTGACAGATACTTGGATATGACTATTGTAATTTTTCATGAAACAGAGAGGATTTGTCAAGGCAAAGAAGTTACCTGTCAGTAACTGAAGTTTTTCAAAATCTGTTGTCTGCATGCAGCTCCTCAGTGTGGGGGCATACACCCTAATATTTGAGTTTGGAGACCTTCTTTGCTTTAGCAGTACCTGAAGGGTATTCATAGCTCTGCCCTTTCTCATCCGCTGTACTGAGGGATTAAAGAGAAAAACACGCTATATTCTGTTTAATTTTTCAATCCATTGTTCCATCTTTCCATGGAACTGGTTTAAGAGTCTAAATTGCACATGATTAAGGAGCAGAGTGATCTATAGATATGAAAAACATAGTTCAGAGAGCTCTGCTTATGGGTAACAGCTCTAACTCCTTTGACTGTTTGTCCAGATGGACACCCTTGTTGTGGACAGCTCCACAGCAGTGCCTACATATCTGGAGATGGATTTTGGAGTCATTGTGGCAAAGAGTAACTGATGTCCCCAATTTAAAATGCTGATGGAGGCTGAATTCAGTGACTGTCTTGGGTAAGAACGTGAGGTGGGTTCTTAAGGACATTATCTGGCTAGAGCCCAGTGTATACAGGATCCACCTCAAGGGGTTGGATCTTGTCGATTTTTCTTGCAACAACTGTAGCTGTTTAGAAAATTCACTTCCATGGAAAGATGGAACAATGGGTTCAAAAGGCAACCTCCTCAGGCACATGAGAACCAAGTTTGTTCCCCTGTGAGGCAGAAATCTTTTGGTCAGTCATTCGAGGAATTTTAATGCTGCTGGATGAGAAAAGGTAGATGGACTTTGACCAAGCTCATGGGCAAGGGTGCATGTTTAAAAGATGTAGCAGATGTTACAGTATAGTTGAAATAGCTGCTAGAGAAATGCAGAAGTATAAGAAACTCTCCTGGGAGCAACTTCTGCCAGGTTGCAGGTGGGTTAATTTTCTCCTGGAACTGCCAGTTTTAGTCTGGGAGAAACTTTTGTGAACATTTGTATGCTTGGGGTTTCTACCTGGAGAACTGTGATTCTCCCTGTAGAAATGGAATGCTTGCACGTGGCCAAGAGCTGGCGGTCAGCATCCAAAGACTTATAATCTTTTTTTATGTGGAGACAAATTAGACTTGGGACTTACCAACAGTTGTAAAGGGTGGAACATTTGTGTCGTGTTGAAGAAGGTGTCAGAACAGCAGCTGGGAGAAGGGCCTTCTCCCTTGCCTGTTGCCTTGGTACAGATTGACTGACTGCTGCCTCTTGCTGTCTGAAGTACATGGCTACTATGAGAACCGGGGTGGAGACTCTTGGGATTACGAATAGGCTGTATTGGATGAGCGGTGTTCCTGAGCCATACAAATCTGAGGTATCTATGGGACCTTCCTGTTAGGTCTGACTGCAGTAGGGAAATAGATGTCCTGAAGGTCTACCCAGATGGTGTAATGGTGGTAAGTGCAAATCCAAGTGATATGTTTTATGAGATCAGTGATGGAGGCTAGAAAACAACTTCTGTAGGGCATTTTTTTTCCTGAGATGCAAAGATGCTTTTTAAATTCTGGCTGAAGCAGTCACCCTTAAGACTTGAGTTTTTGAGTCTTCTCTTCTTTGGAGTCAGTGCTGCAATGTCAACCAGCAAGAGACCAGCTTACTTCCTCCCACATTTGCATCAAGTCCTGATAACCATCTAATGAGGATGACAATGGAATAATCCCTTGGAAGCCTCACTAATGTGAACCAAAAGCAGCTGAAAGGATGAGAAGAATGCACGGCCTGTTTCCCCTCATCACCAAGCATAAGGATAGGAGGGGCTAGAGCACACCTGAGGTACTGCTAAGGAAAAGAAAAATCTGATTTCCACTTCTATGGCACAGGCATAGCTAGAGTGAGGATGTGCATAAAGTACAGTCACCCATTGTTCCAGCCCTCAGTCTCTAGAGCACAACTTTAAGGTAGCCAAACAATTTAAAAGACTAGGGGAGTTTAATTTCTAGTGGATGTTTACTTGCAGACTCCTACTGGGTGTAGTGCGGAACATCAAGTTTTTATGCACATAAAGTTTACTTCTGTTTTTCTTCTAGCTCATTGGATGAGAGATTTTCTCCAGCACTTGGGATAACATGGTCCAATCAACTGTTGATGAGATTGATGGTCTGCCGAACACCACAGGCAGAGTATTTGCAGAGACCTGCACTGCAGCAGCCTGGAGGTGTGAGAACTTTAAGAGTAGTTTTTGCTCCTCATCTGCCTCTATCTTTTTGCCTCTATACAGTAAATTTGGAAGGGGTCAAGGGAATAAGTGTAAAAAGCCCACTGTGAAAATGTTACAGGGATCTGCTTCAGAAATTCATACCAATGAAGAAAGGCATTTCCCTTCAGGTATTTATGTGGGATTGCCCAATATGTACATACAATATTCCAGCAATAAAAGTTTTTTATGGATATACGCAGCCTTGGGGTGAGAGTCAATGTCTGTATCTAGCTTTATGACTATGAACCTTCCACCTGAGAGACTGATCAGGGAGGAGAAGTTTGATCAATTGTCTGCATCTTTGCAACTGTTACTAGATACTGGTCTGCATTATCAAAGAGCTAAAAAGGTTCTACAGGGGCTTCCAACCTTTTTTAACAAGTGTACCTCTTCAGTCTCAAAGTTTCAGCTCATGTACCCCTTTATATTTTTTTCTTGATTTTTAGGGGGGGGCAGGAAAAGAGGGAGAGTAAGGCTGGGGCAGGTGCTGCATAGGTGGCGAGGAGGGCTGAGCACCCACATGCATACACCCCCCCCCAGTAAGTCTGTGGGGACAAGAACTGCGGCAGGAGACAGATCGAGGCCCCCCCGTGATGAGGTAGGGAGTGCAGCACAGGCAGGAGCAGGGGCTGGGGTGAGTGGGGCCCTGGCCAGGCTGGGTGGTGGGACAAGTAGAGGCCCAAGAGTGCCCCCCAGGCTTCCATTTGTCCCACCACCTGGCCCAGCCAGGGCCGCACTCACCCCAGCCCCTGCTCCTGCCCCACTCCCCCCCTTACCTTGGGGGCCTTAATTTGCCCCTCCCCCACAGCGGTGAAGGAGAAGTGGAGCTAGGGGTCAAGACCCCCACAGTGCAGGATGGAGTGAGGCAGGAGTGAATCATTCACCCCTGCCCCACTCCCTCCTGCACTGTAGAGATTGTCCCAAGACCTGGCCCAGCCGAGGCCCCATTCACCATGAGTGTGGCCCTGGACAAGCAGAGTCGTGGGACAATTGAAGCCCAGTGGTTCATCCAGGGGTGCAGTACGAGGGAGCCAAGGATGGTGGGGGGCATATACCTCACCCCCTGGTTCCCCCACAGTGAGCACAGGAGTGGAAGCTGTCCACCAGTACCCCTGGACGAGCCAGAGGCAGCAGCGTTGGGAGCAGGGCTACGGGAGGGGCTGCAGGCTCCCCCAACCTCTTCCCAGCCCAGCCCAGCCTGGCTCAACACCCCTGCCGGGAACAGCCTGGCACTGCCCTGGCACCAGCCTGCAGTGGCCCACAGCCCAGCCTGCCTTGCGTGCTGATCCAGGGGCATGCATCCCCCCATGCCCTCCCAGCAGCGCTCAGAGGGAAGGGTGAACTGGGGGGGGGCGCTCACACGTGGTGGCCACTGTTTCTGATTTACCTATTCCAGTCCTGGTAAACTGCCTCTGACTGAAGGGCCTGGTGGAAATGTGGCAGGGCTACACATGATGGGGTAGTTCCTTTAAAATACCAGTGTTGCAACCTCCAGAGTAAAGTGAGTATAGACCTCAAAACCCTAGCCCCCCACTGCCTTGTAAGTACTCCTTGGTTGGAAAAGCACAAAGGAACATCACCCTGACAGAAACATGCCCTCACCAAGGCAGTCAGCAGCAGTGATCTGTTGCTCTCTGGCAGAAGTTACAACCGTCAAGGCACCAACCACCTGGACTTGGCCTGGCTTTCAGATTCTGTCTCAGTGGTCTGAAGGGGGGGATGCCAGATCTTGGTCAGCCTCCACTCCTCCATACTCTTGCCTAGGCATACACGTTGATGGTCTTGCTTTAATGGTCATAGACCTCTTCCGTGTACACCATAGTCCAGAGGATCAACAGTCACATCTTCTAGTCAGAGTTGCTGAAGCATTGTAGCCTGCTTTCATTAACCCATGCAGTAGAAGAGATGTTACACCCAGAAGTTTGTGGTCACGTACAAATGATTAGAAACAAAGGGAAGGGAAGGATTTTGCTCCATGGGTCTTAGTTCAAACCACTTTTACCATACTGCACAATTGGTGAATTACATTAGTATGTTACTGCACCACAGCAACACAACGGAGGGAGTTGCTTTTTAATATGTTTCCGTTACAGGGTTCTGTAGGATGGCAGTAAAGTGAGTGTGACTTCCATCTGGAAAAGTGTGATCTCTCAAGTACAGAATATCTCTTCACAGTTCCAGATCTACACGACCTTCCATCTCCTAGCAGCAAACAGATTCACCAAGTGAATAATTTGAGTTTTATCAAAAAGCACAGTTCAATTTATGTTAGTTACATACTTTTTCCTGTTCACAAACTTGGTAGTGTCTAGTATCATAGGTCTAGTCTGTTTTACTTGTTTCTAGTCACTAACTCTTTGCAGAAAAAAAAGTGTGGTAGGGCTATTGAACACCGCATTCCCAAGAATCCAAAAGCTGCTTTGGTCATGTCACTTTAAAAACTGAAGTGTAAGATCTACTACAATGCCCTGTCCTCACACACATTATTAGAGAGGCTGATTGCTGCTGTTTTGGTAAGCATGTCAGAGCAGCTCTTAGTTTAGGCCCAAGCTACATCTACATGGCAGAAGGTAGGGCAGGGTGGCACTTCAGACTGGTTAATAAGGTAACTGGTTAGTCTCCTACCTTTTACCTGACTTCAGACTAACACAGCTACCCAATTCTTTACAACCAAATAAAATGGGTGTAGGGACTTGCTTTAAGCAGATTTTTCTTCTTAAACCATAACACAGCTGGAGAATTGTGTGCATCACATCTGGAACTGCTGTGTTCTGCTGATACCAGTGGTACCGACTTTTTGGTCTAGAAAGTCAGGTGGGAATGGTTAGGAAGATGCAGGCCCCAAAGATGACCATAATAAAGACATAATTAATGCATCAGGGACCCCTGCACAACTGCAAAGCCTGGGAACATGAGTGGCAATACCAGCAGCTCAAACTCAGGGGAAATAAGTGATTTCGTCCCGTTAAGAATACTCCACAGCAGAGGAACCTGGTGGACCTGGTCTAAACATCATTGCAACCAGTATGATCCAGGACTGTGGCAGCCATGCAAAACCCAACTTAGAAAATCTATTTGACTTTCAGTCCAATTTTAAGCTACAAATTTCTAGATAGTATTCGAAGAGAAGAGGCTTTGTATTTTGTTTATTCTGCTTTACCTGTTTTTAGGGTTTGTGTAATTTAGAACTATATGCCTTGTAACAATGTGGTTGCATAATTAGCACACTTGAATCCAAGACATGTCAGGATGTGTCAAACCCAGAAAAGCTGGCTTTACTAAGCAGTTATTTCAGAGGGAGCTAGAAGGCGAATTTATTTCAGCAGAATTTAAAACTGGGTAATTCTCCACTGCAAGTCCTAGCTGTTCCAGTGGTAGCCTCTTCTGTTAAGTAAGAAATGCACTTTTATTTAGAAACCTTCCCTTTATACAACTTTATTCATCTTCGGGTTTCACAGCTGAGGTTTGCTTCCGTACAGAAGTCCACACTACGTGCTTTACACGATTTACATTCGAAAATGCACAAACATTCCCAATTTAACATATACAACTATTGTTAAGACTCCATTTAAATATTTTATTTTTGCACTTTGCAAATAAATGCTACACGACACTTTCGAAATGTCTAAACAGCTTCTAATCAGACCACAGCTCTGTAACATGTTACAAACAAGAGGCGTTCAAAGAAAACACAATATGCACTTCTTGGAACAGGCTGCTTTTGAAAACTAGAACAGCAAGACAAAACTATTGTTCTCTGCAAAGAAAATGATGGTCATAAGGAAAAGTGCATTACAAAACTAGTGACACACAACTGAGCTGGCTAAAAACCCTCCATTTTTTATTTCATACCAAGTTCTGTGTTTAAGTCTCAGTGAATTACTGCTCTTACATTTAAGGGTTTCTTTTAAAAGAAGCTTTTTAGTTCTTATCTCTCCTCAGCTAAATTCAGAATCCTGTTCTCCTTCAGCAGTTTTAAGAAAGGGTAAGATACTTAGTGACAGATACAAAGCCCTGAAGTCAGTCTTGGAAGGTTTTAAACTAGGTGGGTTTTCTGTTCATTCGTTTGTTTTTATAATCCAGTCCACACATTTGAAAACTAAAAATCTTTGTCAGTTCTTCCTAAAAAGAAAAAAAAGTGCCATGATTATCCTTCAGGATGCTATCGATCTCTCATCCCACAGATACACAAAATACCCTTTGTGATTTCATAGAACCTCAGCTCTATTTAACTATTGTACTATCGTCTCTAAATTCTGTAAGACATTGACATACATTTCAAATAAAAATAAAACAAACATTCGCAGCCATAAATTCAAGAACAACACAGCCGATGAATGTAGAGAGACCCCAAAGATTTCTCATTTTTATTTTAGAAATTTTCACCATGTCTATCCCAAACTGTATGCAACTCAGTCTAATTTGGCTTTTGCTGTTGTATAATTAATTTCCAAATACGCAGTCCTAGGTCATTTCAGTGCTAAGATGTAGCTATAGTGATAACTGAAATTTAGCTACGATTTTTTAAGTACTTTATCTGGAAGCTATAACAAATTAATGGGATATAAACAGTTTTGCCATTTATCTATCAACACAAGCCTTCATTTTCTCAAAAGAATGTACCTTAGACCTTCTGAGCTCAATTCATGCATGCATGGGTGACTAGCTAGCCTTGTAAAGGCCTTTAACAAAATAACCCCCTGGTGATGATTACCATTTGAAGTACTGAGGCAGCAAATGCCCCAAAGTAATCGAGTTTAAAGTGTCACAATTCCCCCCAAACTAACCAGTTTTAAAAGAGCATCTGTATTAATATTTCAAATGTGCATTTGTACGATATGCAAAGTCTGTACAACAGAACGGTAAACATCTCGCCTTCCGCGCGGTACGTATTCTTTCAATTTCAGCAGCTGTGGAAATACAAGAACCCGACTCTTAGCAGCTTTCAGACCAAAGTCAATGACCTGTGTAACAAAAACTAAAGTGCGCTTTGAACCTATCACACTACAAATGCACTTCTGGAGAATCGCTGCCTGCCCCATTTAACAACATACACACACACAAAACACAGCCATACCTCGTTTCCTGTTTTCAAAATCACTGGAATTAACTGTACAGTTTAACCATAGATATTTGATAAGCTTTAACCTTCATGAATTACTGTCATTTAGCTATAAAAGTAACAAAAAACAAAG